TAATACTGTGTGCAGTCTAAAGTAAACGCCTTAGTAATGAATTGTGAGCAGGAAACCATAAACCAGTGTTTTTGTTGACAAGTTTACTCTCCCAAAACAATGTTAAAATAGTGAAAATCGTGCAGACTATGGCTTAAATACAATCTATAGTAAGTGTAAGTAAGTAGTATGTGAAAAGTAATTCCGTCTTATTTTGTTTGGACATCTGAAGTGTTTGAATATTTCCAAGCCGCACAACTAMAAGGCATTTTGCTTTCTCCTCTCTGCCMCCTCCAATATGGCGGCGACATGGTTATGCCGTTGAGCTTTCTATAGGGCCTCCATGGATGTCTATGCATCAGCCGACGGGTCGGTCCACGCGGGAGGAGTTCGGTTCTCAGTCAGACTGTCTCAACTCACTTGAGGCGCTTCAAAGAGAGGTTGTCAACCAATCAGAGAGCCGGAACCAGGGTGGACTTAGAGGTGTGTCCAATCAGAAAAAAGCAAAGAACATCCTCCTCTCTGCCTGGTGGTGCCATTCTAACTTTGATCAAGAGCTGAAATCATTTTACTGTTTAGACAAGTTCTTGTTTACATTACCTAACTGCACTGGTTTACCTCATATCAGATTTAAGGCAGTTTAAGTTTGCTAAATAAGTACAGAGATTTTTCTACTTTTTTTCTTACTTTATGAGACACATTTAACTTTAACTTTGTGCTAAATACTGCCTTTTATTCCTAGTTTGTTGTTGATGAAACAACTAAATTAAGGGTGTTCAATCCAGGTCCTTGAGGGCCGCATATCCTGCATGCTTTACTTGTTTTCATGCTCCAAACACATCATGGTTGAATGATCTCTTCAAATTCTACAGAAGCCTGTTAATCACACATTTACTGAAATCAGGTTTGGGCAGAAGAACCTCTGCAACATGGAGAGAAGTGGCCCTCGAGGACCAGGATTAGACACACCTGCTTTAAACTAAACGTTTGTGTCTTTATAATTAAAAGTCTTACAAAAAGAAATAAAAACAAAAGAATCCTCTTCACAGATGAGACATGATCATATTTGGAAAAAATATTTTTTTATGAAAAACATAAAGAAAATTTCTGCAAATAAGTTCTCTTGAGGATCCAGGATTCTCTTTAACAAAGACTTACTAAATGTTTTAGATCAGAGACGTCCATTTATCTGCATTTTAGGGAATTCATGTTACCAGAGGTCACGTGTTATGAAGCTAATCAAGCTATAAAAGACTAATTTCCTGAGAATTTGTTTTTTTTTTTACTATGAGTATTTAATTTGGTTTAATTATTATGAATAAAATTAGGCCAATTAATTATTTTTGATTGAATACAACAGTTTATTTTCTGTTCGTGTAGTATACTTTTCAACATCACAAGCCAACATGTCTTGATGTCATCAACTTTCACAGAAGTCAGCAATGATAACGGCAGCTTATCAGTGCAGCAGCAGGCAGGAAGGAATTTCTGCAGCAATAAACTTTAACAAACCATTAAAGATGTGTTTTTATAGGAGACCAAGAATGATTCTTAACTGTAATTATATA